GTTGATGTCTCTCCCAGCACTCATAAAACTTCCTTCTGGCAGAAATCAATTTCAGAAAAAGCTATTATCTCGGTTTCCCCCTACCTTTAGAGCTGAAATGCTTCTGTCCTCCTGGGGTAGAAGATGCTAGCAGAAAATGTCACATTTATTTTTTTCTTAAAGTAAAAAAGAAAAGTTTTATGTGTTTAATTTTTCTGAAAGTGCTTAAGTTTCTATTTTCTCTTAAAAGAAAACTGGTTTTTCACTGAGATTTTCCCAAGGGCCACATCCAGGTATATAAAAAAAGAATGATGTGCGTTTGCATACAATTTGCATATATCTGTGTAGACTGGGTCATCTATTCTCATGGTGCTTTCTTTTTCTTCTTTATTTTTTCAAAGAGATTGAATATTTGATCACCTTTGCAATGAAAAGAACCAACAGCAGTGAAAAGGCAGAGGAAACCACGGTCAAAGTCCCCCTTCATAGAAAAAGATCACCTCTTTACGAGATTCCTTGTCGTCTTCCAGTCTTCTGTGAGATTTTGGATGGCTGTGGTTGCCATGATAAAAATAGCAGCTGCCATCTGTATGCCAGGCTAGCTGGTGTATTTACTTTTTTTATATCTCTTATTCCACTCAGCAGCCCCGAGAGATAGACGTTGCAACAGGAGACAGGCTTAGGGGGGTGGCACAATTTGCCCAAGGTCACCCCTCTAGGCAGTGGCAGAGGCAGGACTCAAACCCAAGGCTGTCTGACCCCAAGGCCTTTGTTTTAAACCACTAAGCTGTATTTTCCATCACTGATGTACTGTTTGGTGTTCTGTCATTTACACTTGCCATCACGAGCCAGGGACTTCGCCACACAGGCATACAGTTTGTCTGGTTGTTATTTGAATGGCAGTGGACTGTTGCATAATACTGAGGTACCAGAGTTTACTTAACTTATCTCCCCAGTTGGTTTGTTTCCAGTGTTTCAATATAGTAGGTAGTGCAGGTGTAAATATCTCTGTGCAAATAAGGGCCATGTGTTGGGTGTTTGAGGTATTGGACGGTAGTCCTCAAAGTAGCATTGTTGAGCCAAAGGGTTATAGTGTTATAGATGCTCCGGAAAGCCTGTCCCATTCATTTCCCAAGCAGTGATGATTTTTTGAGTGCCTACCGTGCATCCGGTGCTGGAGGTGAAGAGGATTCAGAAACGGCCCCTCCCTCAGAGAACTAATCGTCTTGACGTGGGACGGGTGATGTAACACAGAATGAATGGTCCTGAGGTTGCAGTGAGAGCACTGAGAAATGTGCCCCTTGGCAGTGCCTGAGCATTCCTTTCCCCCCATATACAGGGCAGGACAGGGTTCAGGGGCTTTAGGGGAGGGTGGGGGAGGGCTGCTGAAGTCTGGCTGTGGATACTTCCCCCTCTGGTCCTTTTTTCCCCCTGCAGCCACCACCAGGCCCATGGGGTCTGTCACTACTGCCCGGCTGCCACCAGGGGGAGCCAAGCAGAGGCTGGAGGGAAGGGACGGCGGGGGTGGGGGGGGGAACTGCTCAGGGCTCTAAGCACCTGTTGGTCCTCCAGGTGCCCTCTTCCCCTTTACGGCCCCAGCAGTCAGGGTGACAACATGGTACCCAATTCCCACTCATCCAGCAGACAGGAAAGTGCACACAGTATAAGCGCATTCCAAGTTCTGTGCTAGATATCTGCTAGGAACACAGAAACGAATCCCACGCGGTCCTCGACCCGAGGCACCCGTCTAGACGGGTAGATGGACAAAGAGCTGGTACAACGTGGTGTGCTGGAGGTCTGTGACAAGTGGCAGCAGGGGCATTGAGCAGTGAGTCCTTTGGCATTGTGTCTGAGAGCCCAGTGCTCTGCTGTTGACTTTGGCTGTGGCACTGCCCATCTCCCAGCCTCGGTTTGTCCATCTACAAAGTGGACGGATGAGTCCAATCCCTGCAAAGGGCCGTCTGACTCAGATGTGCGGTGAGCCTGCCTCTTGTTCACAGAGCAAGCCTGAGCTTCTCCCCCAGGAGATCCAGGGGGGCTTCAGTCACCCCCATCTCACTCCTCTCCTTCCCTCGACACTCCCCACCATGGTGTTCCTTGTTGTTCTGCCTCTGACCTCCCTCACTCAGTCTGCATATGCTCCTGTGATTTCAGTTACTGTCCTGTGCTGATGACACCTATATATGGACGCTCGGCCCCGTCCTTTTCACTGAGTTTGTGATTCATATAATAATGAAAATAATCAGCATTTCTTAGATCCCAGATATGGCACTCCAATCATGGCGTAAATGATCTTATCTACCCGACGACCTTGTGAAGTAGGCGGCGGCACCCCATTCTGCAGATGAGTGAAACTGAGTTCAAGAGATACTGAGGCTTGCCCAAGGCCCTGAGGTCGATAAGCGACAAGAGCCAGGATTTGAGAACCTGTGTCTGCCCGGCTCCAGTGCCCACACTGTCACCCGTCACGCTGTATTTCCCAGAGTGCAGGCAGCCACCTAAGAGACAATTCTACTTGGATATTTCACGGACACCTCAACTTCAGCATGTCTAAAATTGGCCTCCTTTCTCCACCTTCTGTCCCAAATCTGCCTTTCCCTCTCTTCTCCATCTCAGTAAATGGCACCATCCACCCAGTGATGCAAAACTAGATCCCAGGGCCACCGCCGTTATCTTCAAAGCTATCCATCCTTCTCTGTCATCGGGTTCCTGAAGCAGTCTCCGTCTCAGTCCCCCACCTCGACTCTCTCTGCTCCAGCCCACACCCCACACCCCGGCCAGGCAGATCTTTCTCAAGCACACGTCTGATCGCATCACTTTCCCGCTTCAGACCCCTCCGCCGCTTTCTGTGGCTCTGCGGCAGAGCTCGAAGCTGGCCACCAGTGAGCTGAAAGCCATCCAAGAAGACATGTTTTGTGTGGTCCGTTGAGCGTTCTTAAAACAATCTGAATTATTTGCCAACGTTTAAAAATCAGGAAATTCCACATGAAAGTTCCCATCTCTGGCTTCTCTTGCAAAAGTGAAAACACTGGCAGCTCTGGGCCCACGTCCCCATAGGGCAATGATTGGGTGGAACTGAGTGGTGGCTGACCTCTTCAGAAGGGGCCTGGGCTTCCCAGTTGGCCCATCTCCAGCATCCCTGTTGTCTGGTCACCCCCCTGCTCCCAGTTACCTGCCTGCCTGAGGTTTGAGGCATCTAGGGTCATGACCCTGTGGCACAAGATGAAGCCCAAAGCCCTCAGCCTGGCTCCTAAGGTCCTACCTGGCCCAGCTGGGAGCAGCCTAGCCCTGCCAACCTCTGAGTCCTATTCCCCTGTGGTCTCAACTCTTCCCCATAGTTCTGTGAATTGGCTCGTTCCCATGGACGTCTGCCTTCCTGCAGGCTGCTGCTCTGGAATGCCTAGGCCCCTCTTTTAGTCCCATTTGTCCTTTAGGACTCTGCTCGGTGCCCCCTCCACCAAAAATCAGTCTTCCCCCCCGCCCCCCCCGCAAGCTGAGTTCCGTCCTCCCATAATACGTGGCACAGACCTGGGTCATCACACCCATCATACCGGTTCTCGTTGTTAGCAGCTTGTCTGCCTCCTCTGCCAGATTGTGCATCTGAGGCTGCAGGGAGCCCGTCTTCTTTATGTTCCTATCCCCAAAGTTTGGCGCGGGGCTTGGAATATAATAGGTGCCTAATAACTGGTGAATGAATGGATGAATCTGTGAAAGACTGACTTGGGAAAACACTACTCCACGATGTCCTGTTGCCACCTACTTGCTTGAGGTAGAGGGTTCCAGGTTCCTTCCATTCCGGAGCACCCCCATTGATGCATGCACCCATAGCATCCTATAAGCCACACCCCTGCTCTGCAGGGTCTAGAATACATCCAAGCCTACTGGGATGTAGGAGTTCCTGAGTGACGATAGAGGGAAAATGCATCATTCTTGCTGTTCCAAGGGGAGAGAGTTGTCCAGTGGTTGGGAAATGGCACAACAACTGGATATGGCACATTCTTTAGTTACCTGAATGATGATAGCGCTGCGGTGATGACAGTACCTGACACGCATTGAACACTTTGATTGTACCAGATCCCGTACTGAGAGTTCTCAATACACTCTTTCCTTTACTCCTCACAACAACTCTCAGAAGTAGCCCCATTTTACAGACAAGTAAGCTGAGGTTCAGGGAGTTGAAACAACTTTTCCAGGGTCACACACAGCCAGTAAGTGGTAGAATCCAGGTGTGAAACCAAATCTGTGTGACATCTCAACCACCATGCCATACTTCCTCAGTGACGTTTCTCTTTAGAAACATGAGGGAATGATTAAAATAAATGTGGACATGAAGGCTATACAATTATATATACAGTAAAATTCCAATTAGTAATCAAAAGAAGAAAGGAAAGAAGCTCCCAAGGCATACAAGGAACCAAGGAGACACACCCACGTGCTTGCAGTGGTTACATTCAGCTAGTAGAGCGCTGGGGGGGGTTTTCTTCGTTTCCTCCATCTCATTTCTACCTTTTAACATTTTCTAAGTTTCCTTTAGTGAGCACGTGCAGTCATCCCTCAGTGTCCGAGGGGGACTGGTTCCAGGACCCCTGCGGGTACCAAAATCCGAGGCTGATCAAGCCCCTTATAGAAAACGGTGTAGTACAGTCGGCCGTCCGGATCCGTGGATTCCGCATCCGCAAGTGCAACTAACCATGGACCGATCCGGTTAGTGGAACCCGTGGATGTGGAACCTGCAGATACAGAGGGCCAACTGTATTACTTTTATAATAACAGTAAAAAAAAAAAAAAAAAATCCCTCTTTGTAATGGCCCCAGCATTACGTGGCAGAACAGACTTTGGAAGGGGTGATAGGAGTACCCAGCTAATCGGTTTGGGCTGTCTCTTGAGCAGCCATCACAGGGCAGCAGAAGGGGGTAAACAGCAGGCGGTAGCTGTGGCCGCAGCGCCCGCACCCTCGTGGGACAAGGGAGGGGAAGAGGGTCACCAAACGTGCTGTCTCACTGTCTCCACTTTTCCCCCAGGTGCTTATACCCCGGAGCCCCTCAGCAGTTTCCGCTGGGCCCTTCTCTCGACTGGCCTCATGTTCTTTTATCACTTCAGCGTCTTGCAGATCCTGGGCCTGGTAAGTTTGGTGGTTCTATCCCCTTCTATCCCTTTTGTTTGGCGTTCTTCATAAATCTTGATAATCCTGGTTGGCGCTGGTGTATCGTTTTGTTTTGAAAATACGAGATGCCAAAGGCCAGGCTGTCAGAGTGTTGTGTCTGGGCTCTTGATTTACGATCCACAGCCTTGGCCTCTCCAAAGAGTTTTCTGAATCCTTCAGTAATGACTGTTTCTTTCACCCCTGGGGAGGCAAGGAGGCCCTTCACTCACGGCCGCTTGGATCGGAGATAGAGAGCTGCGCTGGAAAGTGGTTTGCCGTGGACCCCATGCGAGGCAGGATGCTAGCCCTGGCCCCGGGCCTCGGGGAGGCTTCTGACCTTGGGTCCATTCTGGGTCTACTACCGGGCCCTGAGCTGCGTGTCCAGTGAAAGTGTGGTGTCGGGTGACCCCCGTGGCATTCTGGGATGTTCAGTAGTCGGGTTTTCCAGAGCCCAGGATTGCTGAGTGCGTGGGCGGTGTGTCTAGTGGTGGCGAAGTGAGTAGCAAGAGCTTGGGGCTGGGGCTGGGGTCGGGAGACCCAAGTTCAAGTCCTGGCCTTGCCACTGCTCTGGGTGAGTCACCTCATTCTCGAGTGCAGTGCGCTCTCCACCCTCCGTGACACGGCACAGGCCCGCAACCCCGACCCTGAGAGGTGGTGAGGACTTGTCTTTAAGGAGAACGTGCTTGAGGGGCTTTGGAAGGCAGGGGCCGTGGCCGTGCTCGAGGCTGGAGCGGCATGCCGGGTTTTGTGTGCGAGCGGCACTAATGTAGCGTTAGCCGCGTGGACCTGGCAGGACTAGGGCGTGTAACCGATGTCACCAGCGCCTCCGTTGAAGCACTCAGTCACTTTGTCTTCCCCATCCCGGCGTGTTGCTCGGCTCTGGCTGGCCTGGGGGCCAGTTTGAGCTCCTTGCCAATAGCATGAGTGCTTCCTGTGCTCTAGGGAGGAAGCAATATGACCTTCACACCTGCTCTCCCCTGGGACTCCTCGATTCCAGAGGCGTCAGTGTGCTCATGTCACCATACGTACCATGCTCGGTGTCACCTCTGGGCCTCCTACAAGGAAGGCTCCGTTCACTCCGTTTCTCGCCATGACCCCCATTCATCCTTCATGAGTCCATTCAGGTGTCAGTGCCCTCGTGAAATCTTCTCCGAGAACTCAGCCCCCGTCCTGTACACCGCTCTGATCCCATGGTGGGCAAGAGCTGGTGAGCACCGTCTGCTTTGAGGTCACACGTGGTAGACCGATCACCCCACCTTGATGCAGGCAGGGGCGGTGCCGCGGACTGCCTTCATCCCATGACACCCCTCCGGGTCTAGGCACCTAGTAAATGCTTAGGAATGGCAACGGGCACTGGGCCCAACTGGAAGGCAAGACTGAGCAAAACCGACCAGCTTTTCCACTGGACGGCCTCCCCCGTCACCTTCAAAGGGCTCTAGCCTCGACCCACTCAGAAAACCTAGGGGAGAAAGATCCCACTATGAACAGGTGGGGATTTGTCAATCCCTCCTTGTCTAGTCCCCATTAGGTAGACACGGCTGAACTGGCAGAAGCCAGAGAAAGCCTAAGGATGGTGAACGCTCACTCTACCTCCCTTGTCCCTGCAGGTCACCGAAGTGAATTTGAACAACATGCTGTGTCCGGCCATCTCAGACCCATTCTACGGCCCCTGGTATCGCATCTGGGCCTCGGGACACCAGACTCTCATGACCATGACCCACGGGAAGCTGGTCATCCTGTTCTCATACATGGCTGGGCCCTTGTGTAAATATCTGCTGGATTTGCTCCGGCTTCCAGCCAAGAAAATAGACTGAAGGTGCTTGTGTTTTTTTGTTTTGTTTTGTTTTGGGGTTTTTTATTTTTTATTTTTTCTTCTGCCCCTGAGGAAACAAGTCCTGACTCCACTTGGAGGACACCCAGCTCTTGATGACATCATGGGAGAGGGCAGGAGGACGTTTGGTGTGTTTCTTTTCCCTTCCTCTCTGTCCCTTTCTTCCACCACTCTTCGTTCCCCGGCTCTTCCCCCAGGACGGCTCCTGGAGCCTGGGCTGTAGTCCTGGAGCCTGGGCGGTAGTGCTGGAGCCTGGGCTGTAGTCCTGGAGCCTGGGCGGTAGTGCTGGAGCCTGGGCTGTAGTCCTGGAGCCTGGGCGGTAGTGCTGGAGCCTGGGCTGTAGTCCTGGAGCCTGGGCTGTAGTCCTGGAGCCAGGGCTGTAGTGCTGGAGCCTGGGCGGTAGCGCTGGAGCCTGGGCGGTGGCCCTGGAGCCTGGGCTGTGGTCCTGGAGTATGGGCTGTAGTGCCGAGGGCCGCACGTTTCCTCCTTCCCTTTGCCGCTCTCTCCCTGCTCCTCGTGGCCTTAAATGGCGAGACGGTAGTCAGTGGCTTTCACTCTGCTAGTTGCTGCTTTAACAACATCTGGTTGAGGAGAAAGGGAACAACAAGCAGTAGTTCTTTTGGCGTCGAAGAGATGAGATTGGGCTGCGTTTCATTTCTCCACTGCCAGGGACCTCCAGGCTTATGCTGGGGTCCCCTTTTGTCTCCAGCACCGCCCTCACCATAAGGGGACTGCGGCCTTGTTTCTATACCAGCGGCAAGCCGAGAGCCAAGGGATTTCCCAGCTCATGGCCAAAAGAGAGCTGGCCAGATTCTTCCCACTGGTGTCCCATGACTCAAAGCAAGCAGCCAACCAGCCACTCCCTCCAGGATGCTGCCAGAGGTGGGAGGTGTGGGGCGCTACCCAGCCCAGGGGCTAGATTCCACTATTGCAATGGCAAATCCAAAGTGCACAAGGTTGAAATGTCCACAGCTAATGCTAGGCAGGACCTTGGGTCAGTTCTGCTTGAGAGCTGAGAACTGACCCATATCCCAGTCAGAAGTGAGCATAGAAATTAGTCAAAAGCCGTGGTAACTTGAGAAAACTGTGATTTGAATCATATGCTTGCTTTTAGTTTAATGTTGATAATAGATGACATTTTAATTTTGAGGGCCCCTTAAATGTTCTCTCTCTCTCTTTTTTAAAGGCAGCTTCAGGGAAGGATGAGCTAGAGTTGGGTCTTCTGGCTCTTGGAGTTTTGTGTATTCGTCTGTCCATTTGCTTTCGGATGTTTGAGTTCGGAGAATCCTTGAATTAGGGCCTGTCTCTGGAGGGACACCTGTCGATCCGTTTCGTGGTTTTACAGCATGTATCGGCATCCTAGGTTTGGGAAGATACAGATCCTGCAGTGCTGTTTCCCTAGGGCCAGGTGTCGTCACTGCGGCCAGACTCAGAGATGAATTGTTTAGCATGGGGGGCGGGCATCACATGCTCCCCAGCCCGAAAGCCCACGTCTGGGTTGAAAGGGAGGTACCAAAAAATCAGGCCCCCATGGGTGGAGGTGCAAGTGCTCTGAAAGGGAGACCTTTTGTTGCAAGGCAGCCTCAGTCATACATGGACCTCAAGAAGGAGGTGGTGCCATTTGCTGGCTCCTTGTTGGCTCTTACTAAGAACAGATTACTTAATAACAGAAAAGATATTTCTGTGACCTCCTCTGATGAGCCCCCCTCCCTCTCCCACTCTAGGCAACCCAGTTGCCCTGGGCCCATTCAATATTTGAGGTGTTACTGTATCAGACCTAGATTGAGTTTCAGTGACTCAGTGGTCATGATTTTAGCAAGTGGACCTACAGGAGGCAGCAGGATGGAGAAGTCTCTCCTAGCAAGGTGAGGCCCAGGGAAGCAACCACGGCGGGGCCCATCCCTTTGCAGAGGTACGCTGGCAGTGAGGTCATCAATCCCCAGGGTGTGGGGTTGCAGGAAGGGGAAACACCGAATGCTCTGGCTCCCCGTGAGCTCCTCAAGATGCGTGACCTTCATTTTATGCCATCTTTGAGGGTTTGGCCGAATTTTTCTTAGTGCCTCTCAGCCCTGGGTTGCCCTCCAGAAGAGGCAGCTCTTGAGGGGCTGGATTCGCCCCGCCCACTGGCTGCGTGTAGGCGTGGCTGATGAGGCAAGACCTCAGTGCCCCTTGGCCTGTTTGCAAAAGGAAAGGGGCTCTCTTCCTCCCTGTCTCCATGGCCTGGTGTGGTGTGCCAGTCAGCTCGAGCTTCCCTTGCACTGGTGTGCCTCTAAAAGTTCGCCACGCTGGCTGGCACCTTTCTGCTGCTTAGAAGGAAAGAAGGAAGTGGAAGCTATGTGCCTGGCTTGGCCAGGCCAGAGGCAGGTGCACCTGTCCGGGGGAGGGGGATGAGAAGGGGAGATGCAGGGCTTCTGGGGCCAGGTTGGCTCAGAAACATGTAGGGGGAAGGAACAGAGAGCAAGTCCCGTCCCAGGTTGCACAGGGAGTCATGGCCTGTGTTGGAGGTGTTGGGCAGCAGCGGGCGTCTGAATCGGTCTCTACCTGACTCTTTCCTTGGGCTAGGCCCATGCGGAGAGGTTACCTGGCCAGACCCTCGGCGGCCTGCCTTGGAGGGTGGCCCCTGCAGCAGTGGGCCCGGGCTGCCCGGCACGTCCCCTGGGCTTTCCTGTCAGTGCCAAGGAGCTTCCCCAGCCATCCTGGCGAAGTTTCCATGTGCCATTTGCCAGCATGTGAGAGCTCCGTGTGTGTCGGGGAGAGTGTTTGTGGAAGTGGACAGTTTCTTTTAAAACGGCCCCGGGAAGGCAAAGGAGTGTTCCCTCCAGCCCCCGGGTAGCCTTGGCTAAGGATTGGCCCCGTGAGATCAGTGTGTTCAGCCGGCCAACCTGGGACATCAGCTCAGAATAACAGATGGTCACGCCTGCTTGTAGGCCCCCATCTCTTCTCCATTCCCCGTGGTATTTGCTTCCCTACTCCAAAGATGATCTGGCCTGTCCTCT